GTGCGAGCGACACTCTGTATAGGAACTGTCTCTTATACACATCTAGATGTGTATAAGAGACAGGGCTAGGCTAGGCCTAGGCTAGCTAATTAAATAATAGGCTAGGTAGGCTAATAATAGGCCTCCTCTACTCTAGGGGCTAGCCCTAGAAAGTAGGCCTAGGCTAGGCTAACCCTACTACTAGCTAGGTAGGGGCTAGCTAATAGCATAGGCTAGGCTCAGATTAGTTTAAGCCTATGCTAAAATGTTTTGTATAAAACTGTGGTTTAAGTTAATTCTAAAATAATTATGAATTATTATTTATTAATCTTGAGATTTCTTTCTGATGTTAAGCACGGAGATATAGTAAACTGGAGAAACAACACGAATTCAGTCCTTTGATATCATTCCGACCGCGCTGATAAGAATCTGTATTATGTAATCTTGCGTATCAATTTTGCATAAACATGCAGTGCGAGCGACACTCTGTATAGGAAAGGGGGTGGGGGAGTTGGCATCACAGCAATGATGGGGCTGAGGTGGGTGCAGACAACTGTCACCCCACCCACCTTTTAAAACAAATGTGCGCCCTTGAATTGATCTAGTCCTATGTCGTAAATCATCATAACTTTGTGGTTGTTTTTAACAAAATAAAATAAAATTATAAATATAAAATGTTAATTAATATATATATTTATATTTTAACTAAGATATGCTTATAATAGTGTAATTTAATTTGAAGAAATATGATGCTCTATTTAAGCTTTATTAAAAATTCCACACGTATGTAAAATCATGAACTGTTGCTATCCTTGCCATAGTTCTTGAGGCAGAGTTTAGGGAGATTTAAAATTAATGGTTGTGGGACCTCCAATATCCTGTTAACTTTGTCGAAGTATCAAACTGAATACATGGAGTGTCTCCACTGCAGTCAATTATGCGGCAGAGCATTTAATAAGTCCTATTTTTTCCATCCTGGCCGTGTTTCATTGCTCAGTGTAGTTTGAATTGGTAGACATAAATGAAAAACAACTACATCTGGGGCGGATGCAGGATTTGGCGGTAGGGGTCGAGAGTCGACACCTAAACCCTACTATAGTTTGGGGCTGAGGTGAGAAAATTGTGAGAATATGTACTGAGGCTGCACTCTCATACATTAAACATCTTACCAGTACTAGGCCTATGTTCACACAATACAATACAATTGTTCTTAATACAATTTAAGGGGTGCGATCGTACTGTCTGCACCCTGTCTGCATCCGCATCAGTATAATTTTATTAGCCGGTCAGCAAACATACTGTACAATACTTCCTAATAGTGTCTTTTAATCTGTAAAGGTTGGAAACTTTAAATGATTTACCATTGGTGGACAAGAAATCTATCCGGATAAAGATGCTGGCCTCCCCAATCAACCCTGCTGACATAAATACTATTCAAGGTACTGTATCCACAACATTTACCGAAACAACCTCCCCCTTTTTTTTTCTTCCCCCTCCCTACAGTGCATCATTTTTCACTCCTTTTTCTTTTAAATCTCATATATCTGCCAACTTTGTGAGACTGAAAAAAAATTATAATTTGTATATAGTGCCCTCTATGTAATAATCAAGAAATAGAGCGCCGTCTATGTTTTTTGTTTTTTTATTAAATTATAGTGGAAACGCTATGTCCTCGGTCAGTAAAGCTTTATTATAAGAAATATAAATGTTTTGTATTCACATTTTAATGACTAATTCACTTCATTATGATGTGTGAGATAATACAAGGTACAGTAGGCGTGGGACATAAAAAGTGGATGCTTATGCATGACACTTCTGCATTATGCATGAGAGTTGGCAATTGTATATGTGGTATCGGCGGATCAAAGAATTGGCGCATCCAAAACCAATCATGAAATTGTTCAGACTAACATTGCTGAAACTCTGGAGCTTCTGGCCGGGGGTGGGGGTGGCAGGGAGGCGAATCCTCTGGACCCTTCCCCTTAAGAATAAGTTCTTGATTGGAACTACACTAGCATAAACATCCTGGATTTACCACAGTGTTCAGCTCTGGCCAGAATATCAAACTTTCTTTAACAAAAAACTATTGTCTGCCCATATATAGTCATGATGTGCCTATATATGGTCATGATGTGTTTATATATATGGTCATAATGTGCCTATATATGGTCATGATGTGCCTATATATGGTCATGATGTGCCTATATATGGCGATGATGTGCCTATATATGGTCATGATGTGCCTATATATGGTCATGATGTGCCTATATATGGCCATGATGTGATGTCATAAAGTTTTGCTAGTCCGGACAGGACTTTAGATTACAACATATTTTTAGCTGGATTAACCCTAAATATTTACTGTACCACTTTGCTTTATGAGGTTTGGCATAAGTTTCTTTTCCACCCACAGGTATATATCCTGTAAAACCTCCTCTTCCAGCAGTAGGGGGTTTTGAAGGTGTAGGGGAGGTAGTAGAAATAAAAAGTGGTGCTTCAGATATCAAGGTGGGAGACATGGTGATACCAGCTATTAATTCATTAGGTAAAATTTTATGTATTCCAATTTTTATTGTTTAATAAAATTCTTATGTATTCATATTTTATTTATATAAAAATTTTCTGTAGCATTATACCAGCCAGAAAATAGATGAATTACCATTCCACATTCTCAAGTGACTTAGCCAACTTGAACATTGTTTACAAATTTCTTGAGTAAAATGAGGCAGCACTGCTAGCAGTAGATTCTAACTTCGTCAGGATAATAAAATATATTTAATTGTAATTAATCGACTTTTCTTACAAGCAGGGGCAGGGCTAGTGGGTCTCCCGCTTGAATATACAAAAATTCACTTTAAAAAACTTGATTTAGCTGAATTTAAAATACTAAAATATCCAATTCGCATTCCAAATTACAGTTAAATTGTTAAATAGTATATGAAGTAAATGTTACAGTTTTCTCAAGATATTCCAACTGAAATTCCCTTCATCTTCACATCAGTGCTTAAAAGTCAGTACAGTGGACCTTTCTCAAGTGTCAATCAAATTTAACATCTGACTAATAAGAATAGGGCCAAGAACACGCCCGTGTCATACAAACGCGTGTTGTCCCACAACAACACGCGAGTGCTCATTGTCAAAATTTTTTTTTTACTAGGAACGTGGAGGAGCCAGGTGGTCTGCCCGTCTGACTGTGTGACCGTCCTACCAGAGGGAACGCCGCGTTTGTTTGCTGCCACGCTGCGAGTCAACACATGCACATCGTACAGGATGCTGGCAGACTTCCAAGATCTTCAAGCAGGCATGTCAATCACTCTCAATCATTCACATTGATTTATGTGTCATGATGCAAATTTGACGTTTTTTAAAATGTTGTTTAATGTCATTTTGTATTTGGTGGTAAAATAATCCCAAATCATCTTTCTTATCTTGTGTGACATATATATCCTGTACATACATCTTCAATTTTTCTCTGAGCATGAATGCATGGTTCATTGTCCATTACCTCTTGTCCCAACCAACCCCTGTAGATACTTAAACCCTGGAGCTAGTCTCCAACAGTGTTCCAAAAACTTGAAGTCATGTTATTATTTTCATTACATGCTGTCAGCTTCATTTTAAATTAACTATATTTTTATGAGAACTTATTTCTCATTTTAGGCACCCCAGGGAGGGTGACTTTCTCCGGCAGCTTATCAATCTCTCGCTTGGTGGCCTTGTATGTTTCTCTGAAAAGTAAAATCCAGATGAGAAACCTAATTGTTATAGCAGCTTGTATGTAATATACATTTTGCTTAGAGAGAGTGAGTCATCTCATGTTCTCAAAATCAGATTACTCTTTTTCGAAGAGTTCAACCGGGTGCCATTTTCTCCACTGACAAACCATTGATTCCAATTTCTAACGTAATTATTAAGATGTTTTATCTTAATTTTTCTTTGTAAATTCTAATTGAGCTTGTGTTTTTAGTACATTTTGATGGTAAAATATTAGATTTAAAAATGGCTATTCCAGAAAGCATATGAAGTCATTCAGGCGTAATGAACGGTAATTAACGTCTTTTGACAACAGAGAGCGCCACCTGGCATTGTGACGACACAACTGTGGTACTCTATAGTGACCCCTGCTATCTACTCTTTTCTATTCTCAAATTTAAGCAAAAATGGCCCTAGTAAAAATTTTCCTGAAATGAAATTGTTCCTTTATTTATTTATTTATTTATTTTATTTTGTATTTACATAGGCCTCAGTTTACAAAAGTAGGTAGAAATGGTCTCAATTTAAAATGTTAAATTTATATTTCTTTTATTCAAGCACTAATATTATTATTATTTATCAATTTGTTGATAAAAAAAATTCTCTGTAAAGTCAGATAAATGTTTAATTGTTTTTTTATCTCTGGCTTATGGAAATTTCCCTTAAATGTTTGAGAGGTTGTGGACACATCATATCTTATCAAAGAGATACTAACAGATCATTGAAATGCTGGTTCTTTTGTTCAGGTGACACTGTGATCCAAAATGCAGCCAATAGTGGTGCAGGTCAGATGGCCATCCAGATTGCTGCAGCAAGGGGGCTAAAAACGATCAACATTGTACGTGACAGGTAGGAATCTAAAGCAACTGATATTAACAGGCACAATTAGAACACTTCATGAACTAGGGGGCCTTAATTTACATTATGTTTAACATTACTTACAATATGTTTACTTGAGAAAAACATGTGATCAAGGAAGTTATACTAGCAGATCTAGAGCTAAGATGATAGTGCAACCAAACAACCATTCGTGTATTTTTTTTTTCATAATTTACCACAGGTGTTATAGTAATTCTTAATTCTGGATAACATATTTTTTTTTACCTCATTTAATCTTCAATAATCTACTAGTGTGTCGTATTTTAGAGATTTTTTCCACAGAATTTACCACAGATGTTATAGTAACTTTAAATTCTGGATAGTATTTTTTCTTACCTCATTTAATCTTTAATAATCTACTAGTTTGTCATTTCTTAGAGTTATTTTTTTTCTTAGAATTTACCACACGTTTTTAAATAGTAATTCTTAATTTTGGATAATGGTTTTTCTTACCTCATTTAATCTTCAATGATCTACTAGTGTGTTGTATTTTAGAGTTTTTCTCCTCAGAATTTACCACAGATGTTACAGTAATTTTAAATTCTGGATAATATTTTTTCTTACCTAATTTAATAATAATAGTAATAATAATAATAATAATAACAACAAATATTTATAATGCGCCATTTCAAAGATTTATCAAAGGTGCAGTGGACTAGATGTTGCACTTTTCAATAATTTTCTCCTCCCCTGTGGGTCACTTCATGTCCTCTGCAGCCAGCAAACCAGCGCACTTTTATCTGTCCACGACAGGGGCCGAGTGGACCAGTACACCGGGGTAACCCCTCTACTCGTCTCGAAAGATGTACTGGGTTCTTTAAAGTGCATTTGTGTACACTGGGCCTACGGTTTATAGTCCTTATCCGAGAAGACTTGTTCCAGCACCAGAACTATAGGAGCGAGTCGGCTGGGAAAACATGCCGATATTGTTGACTATGATTACGGCGTACTTACCTTAACCGCTCGGCCATTTGATTTGCTCAATCTTTAATTTAATCTTTGATAATCTACTAGTGTGTCGTACTAATCTCTCCGGCATCAAAGGATCATGTGATTTTAATGAGCATATATGAAAGCGTGCTTGCAATCCAATTCATCGACCTTTCTCTACGTACAGGCCCAATGTTGATGAACTGAAAGCTCACTTGCATAATCTTGGTGCTGATATTGTGGTTACAGATACTGAACTGAGAATGTCATCACCACAGAAGCTGCTTCAGGTAAGGTAATGATGGGATGATAATAGCTTTGCAAAAAAAAAGAAAACAAGCAGTAAATAATTTTGACTTAAACTACGGTACTTAAACTAAAACAGTTCCGAAAAAGCATTTGCGCTATCAGTCTAAGTATCCAGAAAATGGCTCCATCCACACTGATGTCGAAAACAACGTCGCTGTCACACCCGGGTGCACGCAGGCACTCTGTTAGGCTGTATGCTGGGCTCCGGTAGCTTCCACATCAGAATAATAAAAATAATTATAATAATAATAATAATTTTCATAGCACTTGCTTTGTTTTTTAAAGAAATGCTCAAGGATTTTGCTTGTTCATGACTCACAGGAGCTCAGATAATGCAAGTATCTATCTAGCCTATTCTGCCAAAAAAAAAAACACACTTAAATTTAAGCAAAAAAACTAGAAAATATCAGATGGCAATGCCATCAGATGGGTCATTATCATCCTTCATCCACTCCTCCTCCTCCTACTCATTATCACCACTACATCTTCTATATTTTGTTTGTTGATACCTTTAATTGAATGAACAAAAATAATATTTTCCATTTGTCATTCCAATTACTGTGTGTACACGGTGATGTTCCTACCATCCATGCAATTATGTCTATACACAGTAGTGTAAAAAATTTAAGCTGGGAAAAAAAAGTGAGAGACAGTATTACAAGACTAAATTTTAATGTAATTTATTTTCAAGAGCTTTCTCTTGCAGTCAATGCCCGGATTTGCACAATGTCTGCTGCTTCGTGAAGATGGTATTGAGTGACTGACAACAAAAGCTTTAGTCATAAATTATATTGGAACTTTAATCTATAAACTGCCTTTTTTTTTCCCGATCATATATACAGCAATCCAGGGATTCTCATATTGCAGCCTGCAGGCTGAGGGGCTCGAGCTCCTTTAATTTACCCTGCCAATTATTTCACCGTAGCTCTCTTTGCTATTCTTCCTTCATCCTATTTCTTCTCGTACGTTAAATGTACAATAATTAATGCTATAATACTAACTTTATATTTACACGATTACTTCATTTTAATATTATACAGAAATGTATAATAAACTATATAATTCAAATTTATAAAAATTAATATTCTCATAGAATTTTATATCAATTAAACTTGTAAATAAGATTAATTAAACATGAACATAGTATTTCTTACATAATTAAAATTAACAGTTCAATTTTATAATGAATTTTATATTGACTTCGGCAACCCTTGCTAAAAAAGTACACTTTCTCCATCAAAAGGCTTTTGTACGAATGGAATTGCCTGTTTAAAGCACGAACTCTTGTAGACCAAACCCAGTTACGTTACCATTTTTAATCGTGCTGGAAATTTACCCGTAAACAAATGTATTTGATGGTCACTACACTACCTTAACTTAAACTCTGACGACACCATCAAATTTTATGTGAAATATTTGTGTGATGTGCCCATATATGGGACATGGTGATGTCATATTACACCCAAGTATGGGCATATCACATTTTGTTTGTCACATAAGATTTGAGAGTGTGGTCTGAGCTTTAATTGTGGTGAATTTTGCTTAAAGATTTCCTTGTGTTGGGCTCATCTGCAGTACTTACAGCATCATTTAAAGTGGGTTACCTGGGGTAAGAATATCTCCTAAAATATTAGCAATTAGCAACAATCAACTTAATCAGTGGCAGCGCCTGTGGGGTGGGGCCTTAAGTCCTCCATCGGACAAGTCAAGTCCCCCCCCCCAAAGAAAAATATAAAAATAGGCCTACACCATGCCAAAACATGTTTTTCACAGTCATAGAATGCCATTTCCAGCCATTCAGAGGTCCCTATTTTTAAAACAATCATATGTGGGAGGTGGACACCCCGGCCTCCTCAGGTATACAAGCTCAAGCCCCAGCTTTTCCCCCAAGAAAATGTGTTCTAGAGCCGCCACTGAACATTTGTTCTATTGAAATTATTAAATATTCCTTTTATCTGTTTTTAGGGGCTGCCAAAGCCTAAGCTAGGCTTGAATGCTGTTGGAGGAAAGAGTGCAATAAGTCTGATGAAGTATCTACAGTAAGTTCATATTATTTCATGTTTTTTATTATCAAATAATATGGTACAAAAATATGCACTGGGAGGTTGGACATTGGATATTGAAAGTGAACCCAAACATAACGCTAAACCTTCACAAACCATCACTTATATTGTAACAACAACAACAACATATTACTTATATTGTTAAAATGTGAATATTCTTAATTAAATAATTTTGACCCCTTAAAATCCAGGGAACACATTCCCCCAAGCACTCTCTTTTTGGCTCAACCATTGATGAATATATATATTTTTATGCATTTCATATAATAGTATCTTAATATATAATTTTGCAACTAAAATTCATTATAAGAATGTTAGACTAATCTAACCCAGTGGAATCTAATTTTTGTGTAATATTTGTGTATTTTTCAGAAACGGTGGGACCATGGTGACATATGGCGGAATGTCAAAACAGCCGGTTACTGTGCCAACCGGAATGCTGATATTCAATGACATCAAAGTTGTTGGGTACTGGATGACAAGGTGGCACGATAACAACCCAAATAGTAAGTTTTACTCTTTCGTTACCTAGAAACAGATTGATTGATCCATTTTTGTTTCCCTGAGTGTATCAATGTAGATGAATTGCCTTGTGAATAATTGAGACATTCTTTGATTAAATAATAATGGTCCTGTTGATTGATTGATTAATAGATTGACTGATAGAACAATTGATGGATGGATTGATTGATTGATTGATAGATCAGTAGATTGGTTGGCTGGTTGTAATTGACTGTTTATCTTATTTATTGATTAAGGGAATCACTGATTAAATATTGAAAATTTATCGATTGATTGATTGATTTGTCAATCCATTCATTCATTCATTGATCAGTATATTAGTTGGCTGTTTGTAATGACTGTTTAATAAACAAATTCCTTGACTCTTTTCTAACTTATTTATTTAGTGATTTTTTGCTGATAGATTGATTAATTGAAGATTGGTTGATTTCATAATTTATTTAGTAATTTACTGATCACAGATTTATTTGTTTATCTACCTTTTAATCAGATTGACCTTCAATCCTGTCATTTCCTGTCAAATGTTGAGGTTGTTTCTCATGACCATGATTGTATGTTTGTATTTTGAATGGGAACCTTTATCCCATGTTCCTAAAAAATAAAATATTAAAAAAGATAAATAAATATTCAATTTGCTTATTTATTATTTTAATAATGATTAATAGATTGATTTTAATTTATATAGTGACTTATTAATTGATACATCAATTGATTGATTGATAGGCTAATTGATTGATTCAATGATTTATTGATTGTCTTATAGCTTGGTTGATTAGTTAGTTCTCCATCTTTTAAATTTGAAAATTGACCCCTGCATCAATTTAAATTTCTTGTACATCTAGGTGTAGAAGCTGCAAGGATGTTTGATGAATTATGCCAGTGGTCAAAAGAAGGACGTCTCTGTATTCCTCGTCATCGACTCGTCAACATAAAGGACTACAAAAGCGGTATTGAGAGTGCTATGGCAGACTTTACAACTGAGAAACAAATTCTTGTATTTGATAACTGAAAGGTATTTCTGAATTTTGGGTATAAGAAAACACTTATGTACTGTTGTGGTATTAAATTATGGAAAATATTATTTATTATCAAACAATAATAATCCAGTTAAAAAAAAATTGCTGGGACAAGATCTGAGGTTATTGCGGCCACAACGCATCATATTAACTACCATATCTTATTATTGTGCACTACAAAACTCCTATCCTTCCCATCCTGCCTCAATACTGTACTTCCTATCAAAGTGTGGTTCACTGAGCTGGAGAAAACTAGTCATGTACTTTTAGATTTTGTGGGTTGGATGAGAATCATCGTGGATCTAGGCCAAGGGCTTAGCCAGCGAGCCATCCGGCTGTCATCTGGATGGCTAACAATTATTTATGACAGCCACTTTTACCGTGACGGCTTGGCCTACTCAGCTTGGCCTAGCCTAGTTGGGCCTGGTTTACCTATAGCAAATACCACCCACCCCCGCTCAGTTTTTGTCTTCCATTTTGGACGGCCTATTTCTTTTTTTTTGGCTAAACCCATGATCTAAGCCAACCTTGTATGTTTGTTACCTAGTTCTAACAAAAAAAACTATCGATCAGCCCACCCTCTAAGTAAGGATCTAGGGCTTAGGTGTCCGATGGTCCACCATCTACAAGAGCAGAAAATGAGAAGAAGCCTTTGCATAATTGCTGCGAAGCAGCCAATTCATATGCTTGACAGCAATTTGACCTCTGAAAGGTCATTGTTTGTCAAGAAACAATCGCCTAAGACAACTGAAAAGCGGAGTTTCCTTCTTTCGTTCTGCCGGGTAAAATCAATTACTTTAGGCGACGTTTGTAGACTAACCTACTCGTACCAACGTCGGCATGTCGCGACGCTGGAGTACTATTCAGCGTTTTTACTATATTTCTAGGTTTTCTATTTCTACGTTTAATCGGCTCATGTCTCAGCCACAATATTTTGAAGCCAATATTATTTACGAACCCAGTTAAAC